GGAAGAAGACAATACTCAAGGGTTGGACAAGCTATTTGAAGATATAATAGAGGAAATTTTCCCAGGCCTTGCTAAAAATCTCTATATACAAGTTCAAGAAGCTCAGAGGGCCCCTGGGAGATTCGATGCAAACAGGAAGACGTCATGACATGCAGTCATCAAACTGACCAAAATATCAACTAAAGAGGCCCTACTAAGAATTGTAAGATGAAAGAAGCAAGCCAATTCGAATAACACCAGACTTCTCTACTGAGACTTTACAAGCAAGGAGAGACTGGGGCCCCATTCTCACTCTTCTGAAACAGAACAATGCCCAGCCTAGAATCTTATTCCCTGCAAAACTAAGTTTTGTATATGAAGGAGAAATCAAGACGTTCTCAGATAAGCAGAGACTGAGGCAATGCACCAAGACAAGACCAGCCCTTCAAGAAGTACTCAAAACAGTGTTACCCTCGGATCAGCACAATAAACACTCACGAATGTAAATCTACTCAAAGCTAAAGATTAAAACCCAGACACTGCAAGGGCTCAAGAGAGAAAACAAAGCAACAAAGTTCAACCCAACATAAAGAACAGAAATATGCCCCACCTATCAGTTATCTCAATAAATGTGAATGGTTTAAACTCCCCACTCAAGAGACATAGGCTGGCCGAATGAATAAAAAAACACAAGCCAAGTATCTGCTACCTTCAGGAAACACATCTAACCTGCAAGGATGCAATTAGACTAAACGGAAAGGGGTGGAGAATGATATTTAAAGCAAACGGAAGCCAAAAGAAAGCTGGCGTGGCAGTGCTGATTACAGATAACTTAGTTTTTAAATCAAAAAAAGTAATAAAAGACAAAGAAGGTCACTATATAATAGTGAAGGGTACAGTTCAACAAGAAGACATACCAATTCTAAATATATATGCACCCAACCTTGTTGCACCCAGATTCATAAATCAAACTCTACTTGATCTAAACAAATGGATAAACAACAACACCATAATAGTTGGAGACTTTAACACCCCACTGACAGGACAGGACAGATCCTCCAAACAGAAAATCAATAAAGAAATAATGGACTTAAATAGAAAAGAGAGGAACACTCCCACACTGCTGGTGGGACTGCAAACTAGTTCAACCTCTGTAGAAAGCAATATGGAGATACCTCAAAGCGATACAAGTAGATCTACCATTTGATCCAGCAATTCCATTACTGGGCATCTATCCAAAAGATCAAAAGTCACTTTATGAAAAAGACACCTGCACTCGAATGTTTATAGCAGCACAGTTCACAATTGCAAAGCTATGGAAACAACCCAAGTGCCCATCAATTCATGAGTGGATTAATAAAATGTGGTATATGTATATACCACATATATACCACATGGAGTACTACTCAGCTTTAAGAAACAACGGTGATATAGCACCTCTTGTATACTGCTGGATAAAGCTGGAACCTATTCTACTAAGTGAAGTATCTCAAGAATGGAAAAACCAGCACCACATGTACTCACCAGCAAATTGGTATTAACGGATCAACACCTAAGTGGACATATAGGAGTAACATTTATCAGGTGTTGGGAGGGTGGGAGGGGGGAGAGGGGATGGGTGTAGGGGGGGCATGGGCAATATAAGTAACCTTAATGCTTTTACCCCCATAATACGTTAAAATTTAAAAAATAAATTAAATTTAAAAATGATAAAGATAGTAAATTACATATGTATATTTTACCTCAGTGAAAAATTTTTAAAAAATAAAACTATATAATACCAAAGTTTGAGGAAATGTGTTAAAGTAGACAGAGTCATGGGAACAGGTTAGTGGGCTTCTGTTTCATGGATGTAGGCAGATGACAAGAGACTTCTGGAACAGAGACAAAGGACTTTGTCACCCATAGCACAGAGAGCATCATTAGTATATTTGTGTCAATTCCCCTTGTTCTAAGTCCCATGGAGGCCAGGCAGATGGACCAGGGGAACATGAGCGTGCAGTTGGTGGCATTACTAGAGAACAACCCTGAGTTTAGGGAACCTGAATGGGCAGTAACAGGAATGTGCTTGCCCTTTGCTGTGGATGGAGACACTATTATACAGGGCAGTAAGCATGTGTGCCTTTTGATCCAAAGGGAGACACTAACTCTGTCTTTTAAGGCTATTCATTATACAAAGATCCTTGAAAGATTGTCAAAAAAGAAGACAGACAGGGCCTTTGCTTGTAAAATGTATGGAAATGAGAGATTCATAGAGAATTGTTTCTCAACAGACATAAATGTTTTCACATGCTATTAAGATTTTTGTAATCAGCATTTTAAATGGATATAGCTGTAAAGGGTCAATCCTAGTGATGTAGCACAATTTATCTTCAATCCCTGATTTTCCTAATATTGGTCTTCTAGGTTGTTTTAATTAAAAAAGCTTCACTTAGACATTTCAGTTTGGGGTAGCAGGGTAAAATAATGTAGTCACCTTGTGTGTTGCAGTGGAGTTTGGAGTAGATAGCAAAGGGGCTCTGCCTAATTTAATGTAAAGTCCGTGCAGCCTCTTGAGCTTGGCCTTCTGTAGTAAATATGCACTGGCTATGAGCAGCAAGCATGTCTATTGTCTCAAGATGTTATCCAGAAGGAGACAGGCTCTGTGAAGCTGGATATTAATGCTGCTGCTGGTAGTCTAGCCTGCCTGGTTTTCTTCTGGAAAGTGGAGATATTTCCTGACATGTTCGGCAGCACACACATCTGTGTGAGCCTGAGACAGAAGCTCCTACTGCCTGACATTGGGGGGCCCATATAAATCCCTGCAGTGAAGAGGGGAATAATCTGAGATCCAAATAATGGCACCTTGTCCAAATATCTCAAGGAGGTCTGGGAATTAAAGGCAAACCATGATCAAGACTCAGCTTTAGTCCTGGGACTTGTATGTAAGGAAAGTACCCAATGTGGAGGCTTCTCTGGGGCTGTGGAGTCTTCCAAAGTATCTGTTGCATAGAATGCTTCAGAAGTGACTCAAATGGTGAGGACAAGACTTTCTCCATGAAAAGGAGGACTAATGAAACACACCTGGAAGAGCCATTTCCTAGTCAAGAATCATCCCAGAAAATTCCAGGTTAAAATTTGTGACATAGGTGGCCACAACTTTAGACTGCAAAGGTAGGAGGAGGCAACTTTAAAACTTTTCTGAGTAAGCAATCATCATAGATTAAGCAGGAGCAAAGCATTCTGATTTTTTAAGAAATGAATGGAAGGTTTCAAAAGCTGGTGTAAAGTAAACCTATCTATTCCTTGAACTAAACAATTTTGAGCACCCACTATAGGCTCAGATTTTCTAGAAGCTTGAAAATCGGTGGTGCACAGGATAGATGAAGTCCCAATTTCATGAAGCATCAAGCCTAAAAAACAATAAATATCTAAGATTGTTTCCAATGGTGAAAAGGGCTGTGAGCCACGTGAAACCGTGTAATGTGACGGACCACTGCCGTGCACACAGGCGGGAGGCAGAGCGGCACTGCCAGAAGGAGCAGCTGGAGGGGCCCTCTCTGCAGAGGGTGCCTTTGCGCTGAGACATGGAGGACAAGGGGCTGCGTGAGGCAAAGGAATGGGAAGGCAAAGCCTGTGAGGTGAGAACGTGGTAATATTTTCAAGGACTAGAAAAGAGACCCTGGAACAAGACATGCTAGAGCCTAATGATTGAGGAAGGAGAAGGGGAAGGGACAACTACAGACAGGTGGTCAGGGCCAGTTGGTGTAATATGTCACCGGCACCAATAAAGGGTTTTACCAATAAAGGTAGATTTCAAGTCTGATGGATGATGCAATGGTTATGGATTTTTCACACAGCAAAATGGTGGAATCTGGGTTTATAAGGTTTTAAAAGATGACGTTGCTCTTTTTACCAGGGAAATCAATGAGTAAGCTTTTGCAGTGATCTCCATGGGTGATGCAGATAGTTGAGAGAAGTTGTGATAGCATGAGTTTAGATAAGGGTGTACTTTCCAGGAAAACCTACTGAGATTGTCAATGGCTTGGCTCTGGGTGGAGAAGGAAGGACAGGACCTAAGATTGACTTCTAGGTTTGAGGTCTGGGCTACTTAGTGGAGGTGCTATAATTACTGATATAAGGAAGGCTGAGGAAGGAATGGTTTTTGGTGGAATGGCAAGGGAGCATCTTTAAATGAAATGAACATGGAAAAGTAAATATGTCTGTTTGCCTTGAAAAGAAAAGCTTGCATGAAAAAAGTAATACTTGATATTGAAGTTGCTACCCAGTTTGGTTAAGTTGTCTTGAAGTACCTAGAACCTTACTTGATGCTATGGTTTGAATGTGTCCCCCCAAAACTCATGTGTTGGAAACTTAATTGCCAGTGTAACAGTATTAAAAGGTGAGGACTTTAAGGGGTTATTGGGTCATGAGAGTGGAGCCCCTATAGATGGATTAATGCCTTCTTTTCAGAAGTGGGTTAGTTCTTGAGAAAGCAGATTGTTATAAAAGCAAGATTTTCTCACTCTTGCCATCTCCTTCGTACTCATTCTCTTGCCTTTCCACTTTTCACAATGTTAAGACTGAATACAAAGTCCTCACCAGAAGTTGCCACCATGTCCTTGGGCTTCCCAGTCTCCAGAACTGCAAGCCAAGTAAACTACTTTTCCTTATAAATTACTCAGGCTCAGGTATTTTGTTATAACAACAGAAAACAGACTAAGACACTTGGAAAATGAATGGATGAAGGTGTCTTAGCAATGAATACTCAGATTGATTCCCTCCAATTTCTAATATGCAACTGTATCTGTGAAGCCCTTGAAAATGCTTCTCTCAGAGAACACGCATAGCATGCTGGTCTCAGGGATTCTGACCCAAACTACTTTGTCCATTCTGAGAGCCAACGAGGTAGTTTGTCTTAATCATTTTCCATGATTCCTTCCCATTGAAACAATATTCTATGGTTCATTTCAACAATAAATGCCAATTGGGTTTTTTTTTTCATTTTATAAAAATGATCACAATAATCTTTATTTTATCAGACAGGAAGCACTACTTGCGGCCATCAGTGAAAAAGATGCAAACATTGCCTTGCTGGAATTGTCTGCCTCCAAAAAGAAAAAGACACAGGAAGAAGTTATGGCCCTCAAGCGGGAAAAAGACCGACTAGTGCATCAGTTAAAGCAGCAGGTGGGCCTTCTGCAAGAAAGGTGTGTTTTGCTGGGTTTGGGGCCTTGAGGGTTCTCTCTGGGTTTAGCCAGTCTTCATTTTCCCATATCCATCCTGAAGGCTCAAGCAGCTGAAACCAGGTAGGAATAAAATGGTGTGAGGAGTTGTTGGAACGGCATTTTGCTGCTTTTCTGTGCTAATGTGCATGTGGCTGGGCTTGTGTGGTTTGCAACCAGCAATGTTTTCCTTTCTTTTGTATTAGTGTCATCTCCCCAGAAATAGCTCTCAGCTCTCTCAATTTCAGTGGACTTTGTTTGACTTCTGATTAAATTCTGGAAACTCCTAATTAAATTCTGGGCACCTTCTTTTCTGTTGGACCTGTTACCTTTTATCTTACTCACTTTCTGGCCCCTGTAAATCACTTCCCCGTCCAGTTATTTAGGTTTCTTTCTTTCTCTGTATACTTCCAACTTTGTTCTTCAACTATTTCCTCCAGGAGCTTTCAGGCAAGGAATATCGCTCAGGCCTTCGCTCTGCCAGGCTATGCTTGGAGACCTCCCAGCCATTATTCAGTCTAATTTTTTTTGTCACCTATTTGCCCCATTATCCTGTGTTTCCTTCTCTCTAGGGCCACTGCATTCTTCTAAGGAAAATGAAAGGAGGGGCATAGTTCTAACTTGTGCAGAAAGTTCTTTGCTTTCTGGAGGGTTTTCTGGAAGTGGCTTAAATGGAAACAGTTGCACCTGAAGCATATTGGATGAAATCTTCTGATGTTATTTCTCCCTGTATATAACTTGGGGACTTCTGTAAACAATGGTCAAAGATGTTCACTGAGTTCTAAGTCATTGGAAACCCATTCAGCTCACATGTCTGTGGCCTCCCGAGGTGGCAGCCACATCTTAGCTAGGGGCAGATGGGGTTCTGAAGCTCTCTAACTGCCACATGGTTACCATGTAGAGTCTGTCCACATTGATTCAGCCCCTGGGACTGGCTCTCTGCCTCCCAGGGGTGCTCTGTGCTAAGCAGAGTGTGCAGGGCGAGTGGAAGGAAGTTGAAGTAATACTGTCCTCCCCTTACTGTTGGGCCAACCATTTTCCTCCTCCAGAGGAAAAGGCATTCTTTGGCCCTGAACCAGAGTCCATGTCTCATGGGGCCGCCCTGCTCAGAGATAGAGAGACCACCACCACACCTGGGCACCCTCTCCCTGCAGAAGGGGGATCTCAGTCACTGCCAAACATTGGGGTCACTCCACAGAGCCTGGGACCACGCACGTCTGACCTCTTTGTCTGGGGCTATGCATCTTCTGCACTTTGTTTCCACCTACTCGGCCATAGAGAGTCAAGAAGAGCTTCCTTCTTTGCTTTTTCCCATTCTTTCCCTGTGCCCTCCCCTCCTGCATCTAACCATTGTAGCTTTCTCCCACAGGTTTATAGACCTAGGAAACAGCCCCTGAGCTCAAACATACTATGCACTTGTGATGCTGGCTACAGCCCAGATATTACGGCTGTGTACCACGGGTCCAGCTAGGACGCATACATGATCCGAAGGTCTCAGGTCAGTCAGCTGCTAAGGAGACACCCCCACACCATGGTTGGTGGGGGTACATAAGCACCACATCCTCTCTTGACCTTCACCTCTTTTGATGATTTCCAGTACTCTGGGGTCATAAAGTCTGAGACCATAGATGATAGCATTATATCATCTAGCAATATAACTTCATTTATTACAGATTTGCCAGTGGTTCCAGACTTGGTGGCCACCTTACAGAGTCGGCTCTTCTGAGATGGCCTGGTGGAGCTACAGAGCCAAGACTGCCAGAGGCCTTCCTACCAGGCACAGTGCATTATTTTTCCTTTCTGTCTCTTAGATATATTGCTGCCCATCTCGCTCTACTTTTCCCAGTAAGAAATGTTTTAAGACTGCTTGTTTTGTTTCTCAGCATCATGAAAATACCCTCCTAGATTCCAGTAAGGATTGAGTGTAGCCCTTCAATTTGCTCCTGGGAAACTGTACAAAGCTTTCATTCTTTGCAAAAGGCTTGGTTTGGGCATCCTGAGGCACATTTGGGAAACCCCAGCCATGCAGAGTTAGGGCCAGCCTGGGCAAAGGCAGGATCCGAAGGGCTGTTGTGGAGGAAGAGGCAACGAGGGAGGAGGGTGAGCTCCTTGGTGATTTAGGTCTGAAATCCTTCCTTACACCCTGCCCACTAAAGAGCAAGAAAAATCACATGAACTTAAGTATTCTTATTGCAAATAATAATGATTCTAAAAATAATGGTTCATTTGCTTGTAAAAGTAACCCCCTTTATCGAATGTGCTGGGTTGCGTAGCCCGCATTCCTCAGGAGCCACGTCCCACAGTCCTCGCAGCAGCCCTGGGAGTGGGTGCAGAATTACCTCCCTTTTCTGGGGAGTATAACTGAGGCTCAGAGTGCAGGTAACCAGCCCAAAGACACAGCTTTTGAGTGACAGGGCTCAGGCTTTAGATAGTCTGGCTGACTCAGTTCAGACAGGGGTGCAGAGTGACAAGCAGAAGGGCATTCCCAGGAGTTGTGAGGACCCCTCATCTTCACAAACCTGAAGCAGGTGCCAAAAAACCATTTAAGAATGTTCTCCAGCCATTCACAAAGAGTGGTTTCTGCCTGCAGTTCTTAGGCTTAGGCTATCTGATCACGTAAACAACAATTACTAATACTTTTGAGCTCTCGCCATGTGCTAGGCATGGGTCTAAGAGCTTTAGGGACTTTAACTCATCACCTCCGTACAAGACTGACAGTGCAATGCTCTTACAGAGAAGGCGCAAGCAGTCCAGAGAGGCTGGGCGCCTTGCTCAGGCCCGACGTGGGACACACCGTGATGCTCCAGGAGACCCTTTGCCAAGCAGTCAGAAATGGATTTTAAAGACAGCACCCAAGGTTGAACTGCTTAGGTTCAATCTTGTTTCTAGCACTTATTTGTTAGCTGGGTGATCACAGGAAAGATACTAAACCTCGCTGGACCTGTTTCTTCATCTATAAATTGGACCAACAGTCTAATTCAAAGACATTGTGAGGTATAATGTGTGCAAAGTGCTTTGCGCATGCTTGGTACATAATAGGTGCTATATATGTGTAAGCTGCTGTCACTACGACCATTACTACTAATAATAATTGATATTATTTCTGCCAACCCTCGGAAGTTGTTTAATTCTTCATTGTTGCTGTTTTGCACACAGGTGGGACTCATAGCTCATTAAGAACATGCCATTGGTCTGTGGCAGAAAGAGCAGACAGGTTTTTACTTAAGCTTACCTGGTTCTCCTCCCCCGAAGCCCAAGCACTTGGGGAGCAGTGAGCAAACATGTCAGGAACCCTGGACTCCAGCTCCCAGCCTGCACCCAAGAGTCCCATAGCCTTTATTAAATTTGCTTGGTTTGTGTGTGCAGCCCACCCCCGGGAGTGTGAATCCTAGACCTCAATCTTCTTAGCCTGCATGGCTACTTGGAAGAACAGAGGGCTTTCAGGGGCCAGGCCAATGGGAGAGGAAGGTCCCAGGTCTGGCCTGCTCAGTTTTCTGTGCAGGTGGTGGGACAGACTGGGATGCCACCCTCTTCAGGCTGCCTTTTGAGCTCACCTTATACAGAAAGTGCCTCCACTGCCCATGCCACCCTCGCTGACTGGACATGAGGAGCTCATTCAACATCCCCCACAGTTATTATATTTGCCAGGCACATAGTAGACACTCAATATTTGTTGTGTGAATGAATGTGTGATTGCCAAGTGCTTTATCTATACATAAGTTTGCAAACATTATCTCTCTTATTCCCCAAATCAACCAGCGAACTTATTGCAGGCCTACTATGTGCCAGGCTCTCTACCAGCTGCTGAGGATTCATCCACAGCAGGTAGTTTACCTGTCCCAGTGAGAAAGCATCATCTTCATTTTTTTATTGATCACAGCAAATCTCCAAGCGACCATGTGACTTAACCACAATCAGAGCACTCATACCTGGCAACACAGAGTTGGGCCCAGGTCTGTAGGAGTGCAGACTCTGTTCCTAGCTGAGCCGAGCACCTGCCTCCGAAGCAGCACTGTGTGCCGTGGTCAGCCCCACACCTCACAGAGATACCCAGCCACAGTGTCTCAGCCTGCCCAGGGGAACGGGGGAGAAGGGGGCGGTAACTTGCTGAGACCAAGTGCCATGCTGGAATTCAGTTCAGAAAGTGTTTACTAAGTGCCTGCTCTGTGTTACAGTGCTAGGCATTTTTGTAATACACTAGTGACCAAAATAGATAAAGACCCCTTCTTCATGGAGCTTACTTTTTAATGGGGCTGGAGGGAGAGAGGAGATAAACAATGGCCATAATAAATAAGTACATTTTATGGTAGAAAAGGAAAAGACTAGTTTAGAGTACAGGAGTACTAGGGTAGGATTGAGGGGCTAGTGACGATTTAAAATAGGGTAGACGACGGAATAGGCCTCATTGGAAAGGTAAAATAGGGTAGACGGAATAGGCCTCATTGGAAAGGTAAAACAGGGTAGGCAGAATAGGCCTCATTGACAAGGAGTCATTTAAGCAAAGACTTGAAGGCGGTAAGGGAGTGATGTCTGAGGGAAGAACGTTCCAGCAGAGGGAACAGCCAGTGCCCTAGGTCAGGTGTGTGCTGCCGCATTTGGGAAGAGCAGGGAGGCCAGTATGGCTGCGTGGAGTGAACCAGGTGAGGAGGTGAGCTGCCAGAGTCAGAGTGCAGTGGAGGAGACAGTGTAGAATTCTTATGAGGGATCTGCTAAGGGTAGTATGTTCTGAGTCAGAAATTCTCTGCAGTTAGGAAGCAGAATTCACTAGCTGTGCGTCTCAGAACCGGGAGGGCTCCCCCTGGCACCCTCTGGACTGCCCTGGTTATGGCTGCCCTTGTGAGCCCATTCTCTGCATCCCCTAGCTCCAGCCTCCAAGGAGTCCCAAGCACTTGGCTTGCACTTATAAGAAGCATCGCCACTTCCACTGGAGAGATCTCAGGCCAGAATACACCTGTCATACCTGAT